CCGTTGGCACCATAGAATTTTTTCCCATCTCAGGTGTTGTGCCTGGTATCTGCTGTAGTCACTGACTTACAGTAGGGGCTTTGATCCCGCGTTATAGTGCAATTTGGTACCTTCCATATCTGTACTAGTTTCTCCTTCAGTGCTGAAGAGACTTTTTTTTAACTGCCCCATATGCTGCAGACGTCAGACAGCATGTGGTAGTGTTTCTGGTAACTGTACACCTTTACACATAACGCCTGACCAGCATATACGATCAAATTTCAGCTCTACTGGATTTTATCTCTACCCTTGTGAGTCTTTGTCTCTCACAAGACAATTCTTTATCAGACTGATTTACCATATCACCATTTGAATCTGCTTAGTACAGACAATAAGAATGGCTTTTCTAATGCTAGGGAAAGTTCAGAAAACCTTGTGGCACAGAAAACAAATGAAAAAATTGAGTATTTATTGGTGAAAACTGAAGCTGCACTGATAGTGGTTTACCAGACACTTTATAAATGTTTTTGTCCTCGCTGTCTAGTGTCTTCTTGTAGGTCTTTTCTGAGTCACAGTTGACCAAAAGGATGGCCCCATGCCCATTAGGACCCCATTTCCAAGAACCCTAAAATGTTTCCAAAAAAACGAAAATGTGAATTTTGCAGCAAAATCTTCTGAAAATAATTGCAATCTGAATAAGCATGTTTGCATCTTGCCTTTACTGACATACAATGGAAAAGTGATATTGTGTTGAAGTAGTTCTGTCATGTAAAGCTGAAACATTTTAGATCACCTTTTTAGGGTTGTTTTTCTCCACGATGCCATCTCTATCAGCATCAACATCCAGTGAGAGCTCTGCATAACAGAAAGCTTGTTGATCAAACACACCGCTTTTCCAGATACAGGCTCAGATTGCAGCACAGCTATTGTTTTGTTTTTTCATATCACAATCATCATGATATGAAACTCTGGTGAATCGTACATCATGTTTGGATTGTAATGAGCAATAAAATGTACTATTTTACAGACAAAACAACAAGTTCTTAGTAAAATGCATGTTGCGTCATTATAATTTAACTTACCAACAGCTGTCAGATGCACAACTGCTCTCCCTAAGACCTCTTTATTCGCCCCATAGTACTGGACCGACAGCTTTTAAAATAAAAGACATAAGCTGATGATGTGCAGAAATTTAACAGGTATTGATTTTATATTGTTTGATTGTGAGTTGTCCATTGTAAAAGCAAATAGGAGTGAGCCCTGGTAATTTCAACAGCTACAATTCAATCATTAACAAAAGTACAAATCCTGACAGGAGTTCGGTTTGACAGTATTTTTACCCACAGGTGCAGGAAAACTGAGCAGAAAAATGACTTAATCTGACTAACGGTAAATCTTTTTTCAATCAAGAAATGTGACATGCTGACTTGTGACAACAGCAATGTCATGCAATTACACAGTTTCCTTTGGGATTAACAGAGTATTCTGATTCAGATTCAATTTTGTGCTACTATACCTTGCTATCATTTTCATATTGACTGGCATGGTCCCTGCTGATGAGCAGGACTGAGTTTTCAGTGAGAGGGATGGGAGAGAGGTGGGATGTGTCCCGAGGAGTGGGGCTGATGCTGTACTGAACATTGGCAGTGCCTTTCACGGAGAAGAACTTGGAGGTGGGAGGGGCACTCCTGAGAACCAGACAAAAACACAATTTGATGACAGGTGTTTTATACAACACAAACATATCGTATTAAACATGAGGTCTACATCAAAAAGCGCATATTTTTCTGCATGTACATATGAGGAAGTGCTCTGACGTACACAAACAAGCCACAGGATTTAGTCACAGTGATATCGGTCTGCTTAGAAACTGACCTGATAAACTGAACGAGTCATATTCTTGTCATTTCTGTAGCTTTTCGTGCTTTTTACACTAATTTTTCTTGAGCCACTAGGAACATGATAATCTTGTATCATACTAGGTTGCAGAGGGGTGTTTTTTTTAATCCATGTGTCATCTGTTTGTTTAGGAATAGGCGCCATTGAAACAACTGAAAGAGTTGGTCTGGCAAAGCTGAGACCACAACGTAGACAACTTGACGTGGCACAAATGCTGATGTCTTTACGGCAAAAACTTCTTGAAGGTGACATTTACTGAATGGTTTAATAATGCTCTATAATACGATGATGGTTGTAGTAGACATAATTTATTGACTTTGCACTACATAAACTGGCAGCTGGAATATGTCAGAATTCTATTGTTTAACTTGAAGGATGATATTTGTGTGCAGTTCCTGGTGGTGGCAAATCTAATAGTCTTTTGTTTGTGGAAAGAATCAACAGTCTTTCATTGTTGCTGTTAACAGGAGAGACTTTGTTTTCCAAAGAAATGTATGGTGTACATTCTGCCAAATGCCAGCCTACATAACAGAGAGACAAGGGATTACTGACTCGGCAGAGTGGGAGACTGGAATATGGACGGGACCACCTGGGCCTCAAAGGGGTTTTAGAAAATCCAAAAAACACTTTCTATCGAGAATTATTTTGATTTTAACACTAACTTCTTTTGATTCTATCAGTCCCTACGTAGAGAACACTGACAGAGATACTGGAGACTGTGATTCCAACGTGCGATTTAAATGTTAATCACCAAGACAGCTCTTGTTTTGTGTACAAATGAATAATGAACTTCAGATGAGTTTTCTAATTCCTGAAATAATGTTTTTGACCAATCATGGCTAACCAACAGTACTACTCTTTTAATGGAGAAGAGAAAGTCTTTTGGCTGTTTGATCACAACCATCACAACCATATACACTGCCAATAAAAGGTAATGAATAATAACACATGCATTTGATTTATATGATCAATATTGTTTGTAAAAAGGATCTGGGTGGACTACACCTGGATGTGGAAAACAGCTTGCTCTCTGGTCACCCAGCTTTAAAATAAAATCATGACCTCTTTTGGCCAGCAGTCCCTGACTTAATGATGTTATTAAAATAGGGATAAAATAGGACTAATAGTTTAAAGTATAACATACATTATATGGACCACACAGTATTGTGCCGAGCCTCATAAACTTTGAATGCAGGTATTTTAGTCCCATTGCCACAGGTGTATAAAATCAAGGATCTAGCAATGCAATCCGCCTTTACCAACATTTGTTAAATAATGGGTCGTAGAAGAGCACTGGTACTATAATAGCATGTAAATTATTTGTAAAATCTCTTCCCTTTTAGATAATCCAGGCGCAGCTGCACCGTTACAAATTGGATGGTTCAGTTACTACAGAAACTTGGCCACGACGCTACCAAACAGGGCCGCAGGGTCCTATATTACAGGGACCTATATTTCCTGGAAGTCTTCAACGCTCTGCTGACTCAGTAACTACTTCCAAACCTCCTCTGGTATTAACATCAGTACAAAAACTATGTGCCGGGAGCTTAATGGGGGCACATGCCCGAGCAGCTTCTGCAGGTGTAATGTTTAAGTGTCCCAATACTTAGGAACACTTCTGCCCCAACATAGTGTATACTGCTACTATTCAAAAACAGAACCGATAGTATGCCAAAGGTATCATAAAATTGAATCAACATTTCACTAAATATTTTAGCAAATAACAAATAACTTCTTAGAATACTGCACGGATGTTCTGTTCCATTAAATTAAAAAAAAAAAAACAACAACGCCAAACCAACGCTACGATATTTGATAAAACATTAATATTACCACAAAGCAACGCCTTTGCTTATCAACCCCTAAGCAAGACATTTCACATAACTCAGGTGAGCTTTTTGGCGAAGAATGTATTACAGCGGTTTGAGCAAGACCTACCTGTTCAGGTTGACGTTTAGCTCCGAGCCAACTACGTATAATACCGTCGTAGTTTTTCCGTAATCTATTCTGAGCGTGCGGGGATGGATCATGACTGTCGTCTTCTCGCACTGTTAGACAGAGACTGACCACAAACGTCCAGCGATTGCTGCGACAGTACAGATAAGTAAAAGCGCAAACTTCTAAACTGTTTCAGACCAGCGCGACAACTCATCATAAAAGCTGCAGGTAGGTTGCTAGGCTTAGGCTTTGTGCGGTGATTGGTCAGTCAAATTCCACTCCGCCCCCTCCAGTGGCCACTTATCCTATGGCAGTTCTTTATTCTTATCTATTGATCTTTCTATTTACCAACATCTTCTGGAGGAAATTGGGCTCTGTGCACATTTCAACTATTAATAATTGAATAGACTGATTTTATATAGTTAACTACTTTTCCTGAGAATTCAAAGCGCTTTATACAGCTTGCCTCATTCACCCATTCATTAAAAGCACTTTTATCCATGTTTTTTCTACATAAGAGGTTTCTCTACATTCACACGCATTCACACTCCGATGGATACATCGGACCAATTTGGGATTAATATCTTGCACATGATATTTAGCATGCACACTGGAGAAGCCAAGGATCGACCCACTAACTTTCCGATTAGTAGTAGATGACCTCATGAGCTATAGCCAACCCAGTACAAACAGATGACTTGTATTTTTTTTCTGTATTTACTTTAGGTTTTTACAGACACATTGTGACAACTGACACCAACCAGCGCACCTCACCATAGAGCCGCACCCTTCGAGATCTCTCAGCAGTATGCACTGAACAACGCTATAAAAACGCACTTGAACAGTCACTTGAAAGTTTTCTACGTGATGTTCTCGCCACTGTTACCAACATTATAACGTGCATATAGAGCTGAGTATGTGTGTTTAGAGTCATGTTAGTGTTTCACCTTACCTGTTCACCTTTGCTGTCAAAGAGGTTCCAACAACGTAGAGAAGTTGCTGCGTATTTTGTGTGTCTAGACGACATGTAAGTTGATTACCCGTGGTAACGTTTCTTTTCTTATTTAAGAAAGTAAATATATGTGGAGGGACATTGGTTTGGTAAACGTCTTGAAACATGGTTGACGGCTGTTTGCCTCCTGTGAAGAGTAGTAGGTGTGTGCAGATGTACACGTATCTGAAAAGCCCAAGTAGCTTATGTAATTTGCAGTAGGAGGGACAAGCTTACAAGCCTTCCCATCTTTAAAATAATTTGCCAAAACCTGTAAATTAAAATCTTCAGAGGAGTTGTGCAACTTATGATTGGTTGAGGCCAATGGAAGTTTTTGTTCCGCACCACAGACATTGCTGTATATTGCAAAGGCATGGCCAACCTGCTAGGGCATGTCATAGGTTCAAGGACTATATTGTACTGTGCGTCTGTATGTACAATCATTTTGTTGGTGTTTGTGGGAATAAATAAGTAGCCCTTGAAAACTAGGTTGCAGAATAAGGGCCAGGTTCTGTTTGCTGTCACCATACAGGTGTTTGGAGGTTAATGGTTAATCTGCGTTTAACACTGGATACTGTGTTTCCTCTTAAAAGGAAAGTAAACAAATCAGAAAGCTTTGACTCCCTGATATAAATTGCAAACACACACCTTAAAGCAGATAACCTGTAAGCTTGAGAGGAAATTGTGATGCACTAAAGATTTTCACTCGGTTTATAAAAATAGTTTTCTGTTCTATAAAAAAAAAAGTGCAGATTTCTACAAGGGTGTTCAAAAAAGTCTCACCATTAGTTAACGCAGTCACTTCAAATATGATAAGTTTATCTCTATTAATGGGGTACACAAAAGCTGTAATTACACAACAACATGAAAAGCTTTTACTTGATCCAGTTAGCTAATTATAACCCAATCTCCAACCTTCTTGTTATGTTAAAAAAATATATCTTGAAATCAATGTTATCAATGAGCTAACTGATCATGTACAGTGGAATGGTTTATTTGAAGAGTTTCAGTCAGGATTTACAGTCAATTTCTATCATAGAATATAAACTGTCACGTAACTGAAACAGAATAGGAACAGATCCCTCTGTAGAGCTACCTATAGGACATTTTACTGTACTATTCATCACTGATAGAGGATAACGTTTCTATCATAGAATAGAAACAGCACTAGTTAAGATTATGAATGACCTGCTTATGGCCACTGGCAGTGGACCTAGCTCTGTGCTTGTCCCATTAGACCTCATTCTATACTGCTCATCATAACATTTTAATACAGAGATTGAAAACATTCTTAGTATTAAAGTAAATGTACTCCAATGGTTTGAATGGTATCTACCTGAAAAGTTCCAGTTTGTGCATGTAAAGTAAAGTTAGTCATGGAGTTCCACTGGCTTCAATGCTGGGGCCAATAATTTTTACATTATGCATGCTTCCCATACCAAGTATTAATATAAACTACTGCACTCTTTTTTATTACAGATGATGCCCTGATATCCAGGTACATCTGTCTATGAAGCCACAAATCAATTAGCTAAACTAGTGTCATGTCTTAAAGATATAAAGATGTAAAGGCCTGGATGTAATTTTCATCTGCTAAATTCAGACAGAACTGAGGCTGTCATGGTTGGTCTGAAAAATATGATGTCTAACAGGATAATCTGGATAGCAGTATCTTGGCCTCCAGTAAGACTGTGGTGAATCTTGAAGTTATTTTTGATAAAGATATGCTAATGTGCACATTAAACAGACATTAAGGACAACCTTCTTTAATCTGTGCAGTATCTCTGAAACATCCTGTCTTAAAGTGAGACTGAAAACCTAATACATGCATTCATTACTTCTAGGCCAGAGTTTTGTAAACCATTATTATTAGTTGTCCCCAAAGTTCCCTGAATAACCTCTAGGTAATTAAAAATGTTGCAGCTAGAATGCAAACAAGAATGAGTAAGAGAGATCATAATTTTCCCATATTAAACTTAAAATCCCTCTCCTCACATTCAGTATTAGCATCATATTGTCCTAACAGAGCACTTCAATCTCAGACTGCAGGCTTACTTGTGTTTCTTAAAATACATAGTAGACTTGGAGGCAGACCCTTTAGCTATCAGACCTCTCTCATGTGGAACCATCTCCCAGTTTAGATTTGGCAGATAAAGATAGATATCCTCTCTATTTTTAAGATTAGACTCAAAACTTTCAATTTGATAAAGATTATGATTAAGACTAGATCAGGTAACCCTAAACCATCCCTTAGTTATACTGCAAGAGGCTTAAACTCTTTTGGGAATTTATGTGATACACTATGATGCACTTATTTTCAGCTTTCACCTTCTACTCACTTCTTTTCTCTCTCTACATGGTTATATGCCACTTCAGTATGTCAGTAAATGTGCTTGCTCATTGGGGATCATCTGATTGTTGGGGTTGGTTTTCTCCATTCTGAGGAGACTGCTATTGTGGTTTGGTGGTATATAAATAAACTTGAACTGAACTTAATTGAATCAAACTGAACTGAGCCACATCAACTGCAAACAGATCTATGAATATCATGCACACATCCATGCATGTTCCTTTGAAAAACCACTGGTGACTGCACAGCTCAATGACTTTAGGGTGGCTTAGTCACAGGATGCCATCTTTACACTAAGTCAGTTTGACAAATGTCTGCCCAGTGTGGTCATAGCAAAGTGTAAATATCTAGGAGCAAAAACAGCTTGTGAAGCAGTATGCTACAGAAGTCCCTAGACTGCAGAGTGCTCATGCACACAGGAAAAATGTTTGGAAGTTAGAGACTGCTTCTGAAAACATGTAATGGCATGTGTACACAAGACATCGAGGCAAGACATCAGCAGCGGCAAATGTCAGCTGGGGTGAGGTAAAATGGTTTCCTGGTCCTGCAGGTTAGATTAAACCTTTTCTCTTCTTTTTTAAATTGTATTGTTTAGTTACATGTTTGAAGCAAATCAATCATTTTTATTCTTTCACTGCTCTCTTAAGCGGTTGTCACAGTGGATAATCTACCTCTATCTCACTGCAACTTTAGGATCTTCCTCTGTTACACTGTTTCCTCCTTCACTACATTTGTGAATCTTTTCTATTATCTTCCTTTTCCCCTCCTGTCTGGGAGCTCCATATATATCCACTATCTCTCCTCTGCACATGTCCAAACCATTTTGACCTTGCTTCTCTAACTTTGTCTATAAATTGATCTGATATACTCATTTCTAATCCTGTCCCTCCTGGTCATTTCCAGTGAAAATCTTGGCATCTTCAGTTCTGCGACATCCAGCTATGCCTCACATTCACATCTTTTTGACAATGCTATCTTTTCCAACCTCTCTCTCTTTCAGTCACATGTGTATTCTGTCTTGCTTTTACTGACTTCTATTCCTCTTCTCTCCTGAGCATTCCCCCACCTGCATCATACAGCTCTCTTCTGCCTGCTCCATACTCTCACCACAGATCACAATGTCATATGCAAATATCATTGTCAAATTGTTTTCCACTGACTTCCCCCTTACCGATTTGCTGCATTCATCCATCCTCTTTCTCCCTCCCTTGCTCCCTGCTCTCTCTCTACATTAATTAGCTCAACAGAAAAAAATTCTTATAAAATTTAAATTGAATTGGCACCTGTCTAAAAGTATGATGCTTATCTCTCCGTGTGCATAAAGTAAAGCACTGAAGTTCACATTAAATTCTGAGCTAACCACATCCCCCACCCCACCCATTCAGTGTTTATTTATTCTAGAGGGAAGTATTCTAACACAATGGATAACACTAGAAATCACAGTTAATCTATTTAAAAATAAAGCATTAAGTTAAGATCACACAGTCCAAATCTTTTTATATACATAAACAATTAAAAATATCAAGGAGTGCATTTAGGCAACCAAACAACTTTCATATATCATCAATTAAAACGATAGATTATATATTCACAGATCACACTGGTACTGCTTTTTGCCTTTGTAGTGGAGTATAAATATGTAAAGCAGTCATTGTAGGATCATAATAATCAGTTTAATGCTTTTAGAAATTATAGGTTCTTTTTTTTTTTTTAACATTTTTTACTGCACACTCTTTATTATTTCTTTTATTGTGTAATCTTATTTTACTTCATTTTCTGATTTGTATTTTTATATTGTTAT